AATTTCGGGACAAATTGCTGCTACTGAGAAAAACTGCATTATTTTTATTCTAAATTACCACCCTCCTCTGCCAAACAAAGTGAAATGTTTGCAGGTATTTACTTTAAAGCGTGTTCTGCCTCCACAAATACAGCCCTCGCTTGTCACTCATGACTTCAAAACAGGTGGAACACTGAACTTTCCGCCGTGCACAGAACAAATCAAAAGCACGCGTTCTACTGTAAAGGGACACGAGATACGCAAATACGTTTTGCTAATTTCGAAATTCACAAGTGGAGGACATTTTAGAGCCATGTGCGGTCGAATTTCCGCATGAGTGTGGTTGCGCCACAAATTACAAAGTGAAAAGAGACGAGCCAATTTTTGCACTGGTGCAAAATTAACGACGAGCAATCAAACCTCGGTGGATATAACGACGTCAAAGATCAAATGGATGGGCACGAGCTGGGAAGCGAGAGGCGTAATTTGTTTTTCCCTGTGGCTAATCAAGCCCAACGGAGAGTGAAAATAAATTCGGCCTGCACATGCCCAATCCAGCAGTTGACAGACGGCTCGTTTTTAAACAAATGACCTGTCCACCAATTGGGACGCATGTGATGCTGCTGAGGGTAAATTTGGGGTTTGGGGTGCGCGTTTAAATTGTTATTCCAATTTAAATTCTGCAGCTACAGAATTTGTCCAAACAGAGTTCTATAAATAAATTTTTGGATTTCCGGCATGAAATTTGAGGAAAATTTCCCTGAATTAATACTTTTTTGTTGTGTATAATTTTTAAATTATTAGGCAAAATTATCAAAATACAAAATCTCACTCAAACATCTATGAAACTGTGTTTCTTTTTTCTTGAGAATTTAAAAACCAAAGAAACCACCCAAAACGCGACGAGATATTTGAGACAAAACCGGTGTAAAAAAGTTAGAAAATTCCTGATGTGACAATAAAAAATATTATTTGAAGGCGAAAACATATATACGGACAGACTGGTGTGGTTTTAAAATGGTAATTTTGGAAAATTATTATTGGTTATATTACTCAAATAAAAATATAATTTGAATATAAGAATTTTTTAAAAGACCAAATCTTTAATTTGGCAATAAATTAATTAATTTTGTAATGACTTTTTATTCACATAGGTGGATGAAAAATTTGATTTTCATAATAAAGGCCACATTTTGACTGAATTAAGTTGATCTAAGGAAAAATTTGTTAAAGAAGTTTCTGAAAATGAATTAATATAATAAATAGTTTCAAGATAATAAACTTAAATTCTGACTGGTTATTATGATTCTCGACAGCTCCAAAAGTTTTGCAGTTAATCCAGTGAGACCTTTATCCATTGCTACAGACACTAAAGCAATGTTTGTGTATCTCTGACTTAAATAAATAGCGAACAAGAGTTGAATAAAATAAAAGGAAATTCATCGCTAACAAGGCGTGGCGTGGAAGAGCAGCCAAGGATTTCTGTCTGGCCGCAGCGCAGCCAACAACGGTTTTCAATTCACTACTCTGTGCATGAGAGTGAAGAAAAGTTATCTCTTGCCAAAAGCCGCGGTCGACTGCTTTTGCATATATCCGGTCTGCAATTTCATTTGTCTGCGCAGCCGAGGTCGGCAGACAAACCTGGCCAAGAGAAAATTATACTTTCCCAATGATGAATTGATATTCACAACTTATGCCGCCCGCAGGCATGAACTTGGCATTCAGACGGCGCCGTTTAATCACGCTGATTGGCCCTGCCGGTCGAAATCTATTATTCAGAATGTTTCGATCGTCGTGCTTGGGAATTTTCAATTTGTTGGAGCAACTTGGCTCCTCATCCAATTTTATGCAAACGCTCAACTGCGATGACTGCGAATGTGTGAGAGTGATAGAAGTTTCCAACCTCTGAATTAGGGATCGCACGAACAAGGAGCGGAACGTGAGGAGGTCTAGGTTCACTTATCAACTGCCAAGGAAGCACTCCATTATACATTTGGAGCGACGAAAATGGATCTGAAGATAAACGGTTCGGTTTCCTGCGTGAAATGCTGCGCCGAATTACTTGTATGAGTTTCTTTGGAGAGCTTGCCGCACTTGCAGAAATTCATATCAAGTATGGATTTTTTTATTTAATATCGAATATATTACGTGCTTTATTATTTCATATTATTTTTTAATTTGCTTTTACGTAGGCATAAGCGGGATTTTTCTTAAATGTTGGTTATAATTTTTAAACCAAAGAGACAATTTATCGATTGAATAAATTTTAAGTAATTTCAAAGTTTTTAAACTCTGAAATTCATATCTGGCTGTGAAAAATTCATGGAATTTTAGCGCAGGACATAAATAATTGAATATTTGCGCCATTTGAATTTATTTTCCCAAAGCAGAGTAGTTTTTCTTCAAATATATGCATATTTATAAATTTATATTCTAAAAAATAATAAAACATATCATACCAAAGTTATTTTGATGCGCGAATATTGGAAAAAAATAATAGCTTTTTAAACATTTGAATCAAGATGCATATTTAGCATCATTAATTACTTACAATTACTTTGTGAACATTTTTTTTTCTTTTTTTTACATTACATTGGCAGGATCTAAAAAAAAGTTGAAACCACTTTAATATTATGGAATTAATTGATTTTGAAATGTCAGGCAGTCGGCTAAATTGCAGACCTTCAATTGGAAAAGTGGTGCTTATCAATTTAAAATGTATATTATTGAAAAAAATAATAATCAATAATTGAAATTCTAAGTCCTGGTAAAAAACAAACCCAATTAATAAATATCCTTTTCAGTTACTTCTTTTCCTCATTCTATTTATTGGTTTCGTCAAAAGGATTAATTGAATGGTGGATTTGTTTTGCTAAGGCTTAGAAATGAAGAGATTTTGATTATATTTTTAACAGTCTGAAACTCTTGCAACTTTAATTTCAAAATAAACCACTGAACTTAATTTTTTTGTATTGATTTATAAATGTAAATTTTATATGAATTGCAAAAGAAAACTTTTTTATCAAGAAAGATCAAGTGCTGCCACAAAATTTCATTAAAATCCTCACTAGCTGCTTTTCCGAGTAGAAAATAGGACAGGCGAGGAAAATGCCATCATGATGCTTGAAGCAGTGCAGGCTAATTGCTCGACAGATATGTATAGCGGGCTGCATACTCTGATATCTGCAGGCGTTTGTCAAGCGCGTACGCACGGAGCAGGGAGTAAATTGAAAAAGGTATCGCTGAAGGGAACTTTTTTTTCAAAAATTGATAAGTAGGAAAAAATTATGCGAATACAACGGCTCGAATTCCCCTTCCTGTTGTTGTTATTTTGTTATCTGATGGTGAAGGCAAGTGGGTCCTGTGGCGGAAATGAGTACGAAAGACACACTCTGCAGAAGAACACGTCGTCCTTTTTGAAAAACGAAAAGAAAATCAATCTGTGGAGTGACATGTCCGCTTGTTTTTGGAACATTCTGCTCTGCCATGGTTGTTAATTGATACAGAGCGCCGCGTTGTTAATTTTGGTTTGCATTGGAGGTTGCAGGGGGGACAAAAGCCTTTTTGAGTAGTGCGACGCTTGCTTTTGTTATCAAAACATGTCAAGCGCGGCAACGCTTTAATTAAAATATTGCACGGTAGACACGGCCTTTACGCGTTTTGACTGATTTCGTTACACATCAATGCACGGCTGCTCTGCAAGTTTGGCTGTAAATTATAAATTAATTTATTTCAATTACTAAGAAATTTAATTTACTGATGCATGCAATATTCTTTCACTCTCCTCAAACTTTTGCAAATACTTAGAAATCACCAATAATTGCTAAAAGTTAAGGTTTTATATAGGCAGAAACTTCAAAACTCTGTGGATTTGTAGCAAGTTTTAATTAAATTTAAGTTTAATTAAAAGTCATTGCGAGAGAAATACAAAATACACATTTCGTATACCGATCGCAATCTATATTATTTTACTAAATGAGGTTGTTTAATTTTTTTTATCCAATTTCAACTTGTTGAAATATGACCATTCCTTTTTAAATCTCGGTCTTTTTTCCTTAAGGATGTTTGAAAAAATCAATAGCCTTCTTAAGTGAAGGTTTTATTACGCGGTTTCTTCACTTTCTTTGTAACAATGCGATTGAAGTTAGAAAGGTAAAGCACTGGGGCGCGTATTGCTGAATATTGATTTTAGCAACTCTTTGATGTCTCATAAATGAAAGTTTCTTATATAAGCACGCGAGAAGCCACGAGAGATATTAATATTGATGCTGGAAAATGCACCACTTTAACAGCTCCTTCATTTTCAATTAAAGGCACTTATATACTTCACCGTCATTTGTTATTTTACTTTCAATTAATGGCTCTTATTAAAACTTAAAGAAAGTGTTTTCATTGAAGCTCTTTGGCGCAAGAAAGAAGAGAGTTCAAGAACTGGAAACAAAAAGCTATATTTTGGGCTTAAAATTAGTTTGATTTTCCTTCAAATTCTTTGCTGACTTTCCGTTACAACCCTTTGTTAGAAGTGATGTTTTTTCATCGCGATTTCTACATTAGTCATGAATATTTTTCTACTTTTGAATTTTTGAGTTAAAATTAAAAACCCAACACTGGAAAGGCGCTTTAATTGCTAAATTAAATCTCCTTGTTGTTTCTAAATTGTTTGATACAATTTCCAATAACCTGCTGTTTGATAAGTTGATGTAAATTCCTCAATTTGATTTCCTTTCAAAGAGAGCATTGCGCGAGCACCCGAAACTCACTTCACTCGCTAACACAGTTTCTCTCTGTGTTCCATTTTGAGAGAGAACAATTGGAGCGTACATGCCGGAACGTCGGGGCGTTTGCTTTCACCAAGGGATTGAGCTGCTCGTCGAGGAGACATATTGTCTCTCTCATCTCTGCTTGGGAAATTTCACCAGAGAGACAAAAAGCTCTGCCTTGCCTCAGGCACGTGCCCCCCCGAGCTGACAATCGCCAATAAAAGAAGGGAAAAAAACGTCATTTTTCATGATTTTGCCTACCTTGCGGGCGCCGTACTGTGTGATTTTCCAATTTCCGGAAAAGGGTTTTGCTGTGATGACCATGTAACGCTCAATTGCGATGGCGGCCAACGTGACTATTGAAAGAAGTCCAAAATAGCCCACGCCGAACGCGTAAATGACACAACCTGGAACAGAAAATTTTATTTCAGGAATTATTAATTAATGCACACAATTTCAAATCTGAGTGAAAATAGTAGCATCAAACTTATGATCATTTCCAACGTTCATCAGCAAACCGCCTATTGTTTTGACATTAAAATTATTTTGCAACAAAAGCTGAAAAGCCTAAAATCTATTGTTTATTTTTTTTTTATGTATGTATTTTTGTTGACCAATACATATTTTATTTTTGCGTCTATTCAGTGAAAATCTGTGGGCTGCATAAAAGGTTATGGAAACTTATCAACCTGAATACTCTGGAAAATAAGCGGACAAAACGTTTTTGCTAACGCACTCGGAATAAAAGCATTAAGGTTTCTCTCCTCTATATAAAATGGCCTCCCGAAATAAAACGAATGCGCTGAAATGACTAGCCAATGGTCTTTCCCCGGTTGAAAAAGGCCACTCTTCCTCATCCTAGCTCTTTTGAAAATAATGTTCCTGGCATTATCTGCGGCCGATCGATATTGATAATAAACGGGATGAAAAACAGTCGAATTTTACTCTCAGCACCGAACAAAGGCGCTCCCGTTTAATTAATAATAGTTTAGACCAAACTTTATTATTAAACAAGTTTCTCTTTGGGCTAAAAGTGAGTTGGAGTTACATGCAAACAAAGAGAGGATGAAATAAAATCACGTGAATTTTTGGGCTTCACGCTCCTCCAACTCAAAGCTTTTATCTCACTTTCAGCACGTACTTGCTATATTCAAGGATGGACAATAAATTATCGCAGCAGAGGACTTTTACGGCTTCTCTTTAGTCGTTTCGTCGCTTGTCCATTCTTCAGAGGGCTGGCCATAAATTCACAACAACCATAATCCGAGCAAAAATTTCCAACATACCTTCTTGGCAGTAAAATAATAAATAAAAAACGAGACTATAGATTCATGGAAAGTTTAGAAAAATGCACGAGTTACGGACTCTTTTTTGCACAGTCGTGTTCCGCAAAAAGCGCTCACATATTAGTAGAAAAAGGGTGCCATAAAAAAGGAGAAAAGGGAGGAAACGCGATCCGTCCTTCGTTGGCAGCTGGAGCAACAAAGTCGGATTCTCGTGCGCTCTTTTTTCGCAGCGCACAAAGCCTCTTTTCTTTTGCTCTTTTCCAATAAGCTCACCGAGAATTATGTTATTCTGAAAAGAAATGGTTCTTTTATGCAAAGAAATAGAAAAAGAAATTGAATGCGGGCAGCATTGAATTAGAAAGAATGGATGGTGACCACGTCGAACACTCGACAACGTGATCTCTTTTTTTTCTGAATTTCTGACGTCGTCGACTGTTTATTTTTATAAAATTATGAAAGTCAGGCTGTCATGTGAAATAGATTATATGCATTAACACGAGTGATTGTTGAAAAAAAGTTTCACTACATATCCTTTCATATAATAAAGGATTGAACAACATTTTTAAATGTGGTTTACAAAGGGCATTTGCTAAAATCGTAACACACTTATAAAGCCACCTGTTGAAACCTGAATCAGTTGAAACGCAAAATAACTTTTGTTCAAATGAAAGTAAAGCAGAAATCACATGTTCTCGTTCCAAAGTGCGTACAAAAAAAATCAAAATCAATTTTTACCCCATAATATTGATTTTTTAAAACATAGATGGATTAAAAATTATTACCATAATTTTCTGGTGCTACTTCGGGGCTCTGATTTTTTTCGTGTAATTGAATTTTCATATATTTTAAACAGGAGGACATTAGCGGAAAATATTTAAATATTTTAACTGTAAAAAATAATTGGCAAAAATAAAACGGAAACCGAATTTCAATAGATTTTGTGAGTTTTTTTTATGATTAATATGAAACAATTATGTATTGCGCATGTTTTTCCTGTTAAACAATAAACAACTGACACAGCCTCAAGGTAATGCAGCTTTTTATCAACATGCATTAACCCTCAATGGCGAATGAATTCTTCAACAAATTTTTTTAGGAAGTTTGCTTTGTATTGGGAGATACAAGCCTGAGGACTATTATGTCTTCACTGCTGCCTGTTCATCACAAAATATTTATTTATTTGCAAAACACACAAATAACTGCTTTATGGATCAAATTACATCACGCCTTTTGTATCCGTGTTGATGTGTTTGCTATTCTGTTTGCTTAACAAAACTGTAAATTTACAACCAAATTATTTCGCTGTATATTCAATAAGCTAGATTGTTGACATTGAATTTGGTAGAGCTTGTGTCTGTAGTAAAATGCAAATATTTTTGTTTAAAATTGATTCAAAATTTAAATACTTTATTATTTGCATGATTTGATTTATTATTATACTCTTTGTTTTATCGAGTCCCTTTTCAGTGAAACATAACAAAAATCTTCTGAAACTGAAACCTTCTTAAGAAAAATGATTAATTGATGAAAGTTGTTTTTTATGCATAAGTGCAAAAATAGATTTTTTTAAAGAAGGACAAATTGGAAAAGCCCATTTCATTTTACCACGGATCTCAAACGCTCATTCCATTCATTTGCCAGTTTTTTTAGTGGATTAACAGATAACATACCTGTGCGACCGAAGCTCCATTTGCCTTTGAATGAGGACGCGGCTGCCATCGAGTGGAGAAGCGAGTTGCACAGGTCGGCGATGGCGAGGTTGACAATGAAGGAGCTCGCCGGGCCTCGCAGCCTTCGAAATCTACAACAAGAGTAGATCAACGTGATTGGATTACGTTCCATTTCGAGGATTATAATCTCGCCCACAACACTGCATCTAATAATATTTTCATCTGCCGAGTGCATTTTCTATTTTGAAGATTGTCGGGGTTTTTTCATTCTCGGATATGCATGTTTGAAGGTAAAACTTGTTATAGCCGCTTGGCCGCAAAAGAAAACGAGGATAGGAACTAGAGCAGTTCTAAATCGAGTAAGTTTGCTTTTGCGGAAGAATTACGGGTGCGTAAGATTTGTCTGCTTTGAATACTTTTTATAATGGGATTCATTTGTGCGGCCTAATGCGTTTTCATTTCAATGCAATCTTGTGATCGCTGTATGCAGAGCACGCTATTTTTAATTCAGTTCGAGTGAAATTTTATTAAATCTGGCGACCAAAGTAGGCGAAAGCCACCCCATTTATAACCAATACCATCGTCTATACGTCATGCAATATTGGCGAAAAGTTATAAAAGATAAATCACACTTCCATGGAAATTTTAGCATTAATTAAAAACTCTATGTTTGACGTTGATATCGAGATAAAAAAAATTACAGTTATTTAAATATTCCAATATTTATAAATGGAAAGACGTAAATTATTACTCATTTTAAAACATTTGGGAACGTGTAATTTTATTTTTATATTTTTCCTGATCATTGCAGTTTTCACCTCTTTTTAGTGGTTTTTACATAAAGCAAATTAATGTATTTTACCCAATCCTCAATAATTCACACCGTCCATAATTTATAATGCTTTTAAAACGATTTTAATATTTTGACACAATACTGCGGTTGTAAATCATCTTGAATAATAAATTAATCGCGTTTCGGCTAAAAACAAGCCAAAACTAGCCGGACCAGAAATTTGCTGAATGCTGTGAGGTTTATCTTCTGACAGTTTGGAATTGTAATTGATGTTCCGGCAAACTGTTTGTGGCCGAAAAAGTGGGTAGCAACCAACTGCGTATGGCCAAAGAAACAATGCGGGCTATTGGATGTTCTCTTTTGTGCCGGTCTGAGTGGCACGTTTTTAATTTGCACATTGTTATATGCAGATTTTTTTTCTTTTCAACAGGCTGCTTCATATTAATATATTTCAAAATAATTATGTCATTGTAAACGCTTTTTAATCAGTTTGAAAATTTCACTTAACAAATTTTCCCTTTATTACAATATCCTGCTTTTTTATCAAATATAATTCCAGGAATTGTAAAAAACTCATTTATTATTTGTGATTAAATTTAAAAGGTTTGTTGCAAACATTCACTTGTCATGCACATTCTCATTATAAAAGTTGGAATTCATTTTTTTAATTATAAAGCAGGCAAGGGGAAATTGAACAAGCTCCTGTCTGATATTTCTAGGTAATCACATTATTGTGTGACTTTCAGCTTTGAAGGAAATTGAATTTCCATGAAATACAAAGCAAAGCTCTGTAATTCTGTACAAACATAATACCAAATAAATAATTTTAATTTCGCTTAATTACTTGCATAAGATTTATATTGTGCAACAAGACATTTTTTTTAAATTTAAATTGTGATCTCACTTAAATTTTGCCTGTGAGCGAGAACTAAAGTGGCAGTTGCAAAAATGTTAACACTGAAATTTTTAATTAAATAAATAAAAATTTAACGTTAGAAAATACGCAACCATAAAAATAATATTTTTAATCTAGGGCCATAGCTGTAATCATAGGTATGACAGTTTTCACATATGAATTTATCATCCTTTTTTTCTCATTGTTTTAAAAAAAAGTTTCATCCTGAAGCGAGAAGTTGATATTTTTTTTCATTATGTAAACCCTTTGGGTATGGCCGGCGCTACCCTAATTAATTTATATTTTCGAGTCCACACGCAACACGAGTGGAAAGGTTTATGCATTTAGCTGAACAAAATAAATAATTTGAAGGGATTAGCCCAAGCGGGAATTGTGGATCTCTCTGCAGAATTAACCCTTTCGGCCAGCACGCGACTGGGTGAAAATCCCTGAAAGCTGAAAAGATGTACGCAGCGGCTCTCTTCATTTGTTGAGCAAATAAGTTTGAATGTTTACATTTTAAACCCCTCCGGCCTAGGAATTGCCTTTACACAGCAATAACGACCAACTATGCAAGTTACGAAACGAAACCACAAGTTTTGCACGTCATCAGCCCACAATATTTGGCCAAATATAACAGCCACCTGCACCTAAAATAACGCTTCCGATTCTGGAATTTTGGCGTAACGCGATCGATTGACGTGTGCATGGCTCGTTTCGGTCCAAAAATTAACCATCCGCGTTTCATCTGGTCGGATGTTCTACGTGAGTGCCTTTCCAAATTAGCTACGGGTATGGTTTTCACCGCATGAAGGGAGGAGTTTTCAAATTATATGCGGTGTAATCTGAATTAATGTAAAACTTTTCAAAAAAATATGATAACTTTATTCAACACGAATCCTCCCAGGATAGAATGTTGCATTCAACATGAGGACTATTGACAGGGAAAATGTTTGGAGCATCCAGATTTTTAAACTCAGTGTGTGAATTATTCTACCCTTGGTACCCCCAGGACGACCAAGATTTTGTGCCCCCATTTGCTGGATTAATTTTTGTTATTTCAAAAACTTGACATTTGAATTCTATTGGAAATTTGTTAAGTATCAGACGGAACATAACAGAAAACCTACTTATTAATTAATTTTGTTTTATCATCGTAAAAAAGCATCGCAAAAAGCTAATTGGGCCAAAATTAACAACTACTTCAATTTCCGTCAAGCCCATGCCACTCATCAAGTGCCGTTCAACCTGCCATTATTTCCTTCTGTTCAATTATTTTCTTGGGTGCAAAATAAGGTATTTTTTCTTACCAGAAAAAATTGTGTAGTGACAAAAAAGGAAATAATAAGGATTAATGATTTGCGAAAAGAAAAAGGAAAAATATTCCTTGAGAATGTATTACGCAATCAAAACTGGAAGCTTGGAGAGACAAAAATACATAACACTCGCTGTTTGCTTACGGCTATATTTAGACACAGAGATTTTCGGAAAACTTGCTTCTATTGTGCGAATATTTACATAGAGAAATGTTTTCAGTTACAAAAACAGGAAAAGCATCTGCTGAAGTGGAACTTTTGATTGAATTTGGTTTATAGATCTGCTTAAGTGATTCACATTGAACCCTTTTGATAAATTTTTTTATGACAAAATCAATATAAAAGCGATCAATCTAAAATACAACTCTCAAATGAAATAAAGGATCTAGTCGTGCAAGCGTTGGTTGGAACGGCGACAATAAAGGTCTAAAAGCAGCGTGGGCTCCGATTTAGCATTTTACAAGGGTTTAAAAGTTTTATATTTTACTGGTCCTTTTTGGTTTTGTAAAGGATAAATCCACCCACAGACAAAAAACTGTTCTACTCTCTGTACTCTGAAAGTTTTAACTCGGATCTAAAATGAGAAGTTTTCTCCTTTGGTGCAAAATCCGTCTTATTGAGAGGAGAAAATTTAACAAAATATTAAAAAGGGGCCCGTAATTACTGCAAAGTCACACTGTGCGTCATTGCACGGCTGCAAGAAAATAATGAGTTGTATTTTTTGTCTCTCGGTGCCGTTCGGTGAAAAGAGGTCATAAAAAGAACTCGCTTTCCGCTCGACAAAAAGCCATTTAAAGTTGGTGACTCGCGTTCCCTTGCCGCTCGCAGACTGATGAAGCGTTGTTTGCCGTAATCCTTTCCATTGACAAAATTATCCTTCTTTTTAATTGCTCATTAGGCTAGCAGCTCTTTCCCGCTCGCACACTCATTTTTTTCTGTGATTTGCAGATTTTTTGACAGAGATTTAATAAATAATTATGCGCTCAAAATGCCAACAAAAAGCAAACAAGGCAGAAATTATAGCAACACTTCAAAAAATAGCCAACAACAACAAAAATATTAGTTAAAAAAAAACGAGTAAAAAAATAAAAGATTGGAGCTTGCCTTTTGCCAAGTTCAATAAAGGGCACAGGCCAATAAGAAACTCAGTTTTGATCCGATGAAAAAAAATGAGGGCAGGAAAGGTCAATCCGCGCATTGAAAAAATGGAAGCTATTCATAATTATATCAATCATGCGAATTATTTTTAGAAATAACTTTGGAATTTTTCAACACTTTAGCGATAAATCGTATTCTGTCACTGTCAGTCACAAAAGAAATTGCTTTGTTGCAAGAATTAGATTTATTGAGAATGTTTCTAGAGCAAGACTCATGTTACTGCAAAATATTTGTTGCTAATTATCACAGCTCAGTTTTAATTTGGTTATTTAATTTACATTCTCCAATTTAAAATTTCTGCAAAGCGGTTAAATCCGGTCGTTCCATTTCAGTTTTCTTGAAAATTAACAAAAATATTTTGTGTTAAACGTTTGGAACGCTTAGAAAATTTCCAGAATATTGGTTTCTCTGAAATATTTTCATATTTTTTAAACTTGTCCAGTTAACGTAGAAAAGTAAAACTTAAAAAATGTATTAATTTTTGTTTATATCTTAAACAAGGTACTGGTTTCACTTAAGTTGATTTCTAATTTATAAATTTAATAATTTAATGTAAATTTATTCTCTTTCCTAAATTTTAAAGGGAACTTTGTACTAGTATTAATTAATTTTACCAATAAACAGTCACTGAAGTTGGCTCTGTCAACTGGTGGCAGCAAATGGCACAAGTTATTTTATGCCCGATCAAGCAGCAAATCGACCGCAGCAACAGGACCATCGGGGGTGGGTTTCAATTATACTGGCAATTACCTGGTGAAGACGAAGAGCACGAGCGAGTTCCCCAGAGCACCAGTGGTCCCAATCAGAACCAGCATCGTGCCCATGGCGTAATGGATTTCGGGCCTCGGCGATTGGTACTTGAGCCAGTGCTCGAGCGAAGGCAGCGACTCGGCCGGATCGTTGTGCTCGCCGCCGCCGCTCGCGTTGCTCGGCCAGCTGGTTGAAACCTCCTCATTCATCCTGTGGGCAAAAATCACTCTAATTAGTGATGAATCATCCATCATACATCTGACTTTTACCGTCAAAGTAATTACAAGTGGCAAGCTTACCGGTCATGGCAATTTCAAATGATTACTTCAGAGACTACCACACATTAATTTAACAATCTTGGTAGTTTTGCTTTCACCTCCTAGCATGCTTTTTGCTATAAGGCACAGCTTAATCAACTTAGGCTTCTGAAATGAATCTCACTCATTATTCCCAAAAATTTTAAAAAGGAAACTTTTGGATTCAATTTTTTGATGTAAATCAATTTTATAAAAACGTTTAAATTAATATTAAATGCTAAGGGCTTGGTTTTTAGCCCTTTTTAAATATTCCAAAAATTTAAATGTCTTTTTTCAAAAATGAAAGAAAGGCTCAAAACCGCGATCAAAGACTTAATTAGTAAAAGAGAATTTTTTTGAAAGGCTTCTATTCCGTCAAGAAGAAAAACTTTTTATGAGAGCGTAACTGAATTAAGCGCCTTTTAGTGGGCTACGTTCACAATGACACTTCTGCGACCACATTGAGATAAAAAAAAAATCGACGTCAAAGTTTACCAATGTAACGCACGCGTTCTTCAATAAAGAGAGCTTTATCACATCTTTTCGACGATGAAAAAAGTTGTGTCAAACAATAAAAACTTTTTCGCAAAAGCTTGGAGGAAGGGAAAAGTTGAAAGGGATGAGGAAACATCCTCCCTTTTGTACATGCTAAAAGTTTTGAATACTTCGTTCATTTTTTTATTCTGACAAGCACCGAATTGCAAAAAGGAGCTGGGTGAGGTTTATATCATGTACATGATGGCGATACAAATTTCTGAAATTTCGCAAGCAAACTCACACAAAACAGCTCGATCCTCATCAAGAGAAAGCAAAGACAAATTTATTTGAAATGTTCCAAAGAAAGAAAGAAAGTTTATTCAAGCGATCGATGTTCGAGTGGATGGTGTAAATTTGTGTTTATAAAAAAATATAATATTGAATTTCCTCTTGTTTCTTTGTATAGAGAGGGAGAGAGAAAAAGATATCGGAACGCTTCATCCCAGTTTGATTTTTTTGCGTCGAATTCTTCAGCGCTGATTGCAAACAAGAGAATCTAGAGGCGGAAGAAATTCGGCATCTTGATTTTTTTGATTAATCAGCAGTTATGCAACCGAGCGTACACTTGAGAAAACAGGAGTGCCGCGCTGGGGAAGCAACCGACTCTCGGCGAATTGCGATTTCCGATTCCTTTCAAAGCAACATCGAGTTTCTTGAAGTTTCTTTGAAATGAATTTATATAACGTCTTTTTTTCCACCCCGCTGAAGTTCATCTAGATTTCCAAGACGGAAAGAAAGTTTCCCCCATAATTATAGGAAAAGAGGTTTTGTGCTGAAGAGAGCCTGATGCGAAGATGTAACAAGTTTTTGCTTTTAGAATGATCAATCGTACATATCCGGCTGTTGCACAGTAACAGGTACATAAGGATAAATTTTAATTCTTGCGAAAAATAAAATAAAATTTTTGCATGATAAAAAAAATATGTTGCATCGACAATCAGAAAATAAATATAAAACATACCAACTTCATTTTACAATTTAAATCTGCTTTATTTGCTTTGTATATAAGAAATGAAATTTAAATTTGAAGCAAATAATCCAAAATAATCCGACGTTTTAATGCTTAAATCGCTTAAATAAAATAAAATTTTTTAATTTATTATAGTTCACAGGTTATTAAAAAAAATACTTAGCCTTTTCAAGGTCTACTACTCAAAACTGGCCCAATAAATTGTGCTCAAAATTTCACTGTTTATGCAGAAAAAAACATTATTTAGAGTTTGTTAATATTATTAATTATTTTTATTAACCCAAGTAAAAAAATTATATTTCACTAATATTCCTTACAGTTTTACTTCTTCCAAATTTAAATTGAGGATTTCCATTTAATGAGAGGGAAAGGTTGAAGGTTGCAGCAATCAAAATATGACCTCATAAATCCAGTTTCCATGGTTTCCATTCATCCCCCCTAACAAACTCTCATATGTGGTCAACGTGCGTTAAGTTCAAATTCAATTTAGCAGCAGCAGCATCAGGTGGGTCTGCGGTTAGCTACGATAGGGGGCAACGACGGGAAATTGTGCACCTCAACACGTGTTCTGTAAACTCTAAACAGGAAAGTAAAGTAAATGATCGACTATGCATCCATCAATCGGCAGAATTTATCGCTTCTTTTGCAAAAGGAGGTGCCAAGCAACTTTGACGCCACATCAGAAAAGAAACTAAAACTATAGACGAAAAGTCGCTCGTCTAGAGGAGCCAACTTATCGACTTTCGCGCACCAAAGAAGCGAGAACGTGATAGACTTCTGACATTGCGATCACGGTTGACTCTCCACTTTGAGTAAAGAGAACTACATGTTTTTTTGTTTCGCTTCAAGACTTACATTGAATACGGACTGTTATTGATTTGTTGGGGACGCGAATTTTTTATTTCAAGGCCTTGGCTCAACATTAAAAGCACGGATCTGCTTTTTTTCCTTCTCTTCCAGATTGATGTTCACTGTAATGGTTTGCTAAAGACCGCCTCAGATATTTGGTAAAGTTGGTTTAAAAGCTGTGACTTGAATTAATATGAATTACACTACATTATTGTGGCAATAATTGTCGTTTTTCATATCACGTAGTGCAGACTGCAGCAGTATTTTGATATCAGTCTGTGAAGGAACTGTCAGTTTTCGGATGCTTAAATTTTAAGACTGAAATGTGAAAAACATTTTGATCAATTTTGTCAAACTCAACCTGTAAAGATTACATTCAAATCGCAGGACGTCATTAGAAAATCTGGATTGTTGAACCGAGGTCTTCAAATAAGAAAAGGCGTGGTTTCTGAAATTTAATTTAGCTTTTCCTTTAAGGGTTTATTAGCTGTTTAATTGTTTTCTGTTTTTTTTTCTAGAAAAAAATCCTGCTCCCTGCCCTATTTTTCGGCTGCGAGCTGCACCCATAATTCATGAGCTTTCTCAGCTGAATCAACCTTTAATCGTGAAATAATTCTAAAAAAGAAAATCCATAAAATATAATTAAATTTTGAATAGTTATTGTTAGTAAAATCGCTCAAAAGATGCAATACTTTTCATCGAATTTTTGATAAAAATTAAATTATAAAAGTTTTTACTTTAAAAGATATTTATTTTCAATTGTTGTGTACTTTTTTAATGTCTTGTTTAATAGCACGGAATGACTCATAAATGCAACGTTTTGCTGCGTCTTTGTAGAAAAATTGATCCTCACAAAGGTGCAAGGCAAACAGAATGCACCAGCCATTAGGAATTTAAAAATAAAAAAATATTGCAAAACTTATTATTAATTTGTAAGAATTCTGAAAGATTCATAAATAATAAAATAATACTACAAATTAAGAAAATCTCAACTCTTCTTGGTTTTCTGCAATTTGAAGAATAAGAAAGTACAAAATAAAATAATAATTACAGCAATTAAGTCGCAATTTCCACTTGCAACATTTCCTAAGAAAATAAAAAACCAAGAAAATAGCGAAACGCCTCTGCCCCAATATCGTACAAAAAGAAAGGAAAATTATTACATTTCGCTCAATATCTATCGGAGAGTTGAGACTTTTCAAATATAAAACTTCCAGGGATTCGCCTTGCGTTCGGAGAATAAGTGATCAATTGCAACGTTTCTTGTCCAGCCCGAGCTGCTGACGGGAAGGGCAGAAGAAGAGACCGTGCCTTTCTCAATTACTGAGCTCCTTGCCGCTGTTGATTTACTTCGTTATTTGCGGGGCTGCCTCGGGCGACTCGCTGTCAACCCCGGATTTCGCTTCGACAAGCCACCAAATAGATACATACTTATGACGCATCATCTCGTTGGCGCTTTCAATCAAATTCAACAAGTTTACATTGAAAAGATAACAGAGTAAATCAACATGGCTCAGCCGGAAAAGCTAATTAATTAGGAGGCTCAAAGGGATTTCAAATAATTAACTTGTCTTTCAAGCAAACAACCCTTACGGGTTCCATCATAAATAAAGCAAATGAGTTCCTCTTGATGTGCGAAAAACAATTCAAATTGAAGTCGAAGTAAATAAATAATTTTCATATTTTCTGCTTAACACCAATAATAAGTAAAAACTAAATTTTCATTATCTATTTTAATCTGCAAACTACCATTTTTATTTTAAATTTTTGTAATATTTTCGAAAAGCAGACAGTCGTACATACTAATTACACTACATAAAAAAGGGGTGTTGCATGATTAAAAAAGTTCCCCTCGGAACAGAGGAGAGGCCTTGAATTAACTCTCAGCTTCAACATTGGAAAATTGTACGTGTGTAAAGCAATTTTGCACATCCACACAATAAAAAAACCAATGTGAAATATCGCCGTAGAAAAGAATGTTATCAAATTCATCCAATCCAATTTTTTTTCTTTTGTTATTTAGGGATTTAAAGATTTGCATGGCATTTGTATGCCAAAAAAATAATACTTATTTTTACGTACGAAAGTAATTTTGAAGTAAATGCTAATTAAAAAAATTAAATCTTCTTGTTGACTTAAAAGCCTCCTTTATCATATTCATACTCTATTTAATTACCTTCACATTTTATCATTATCAGTTATTTCATTCAATATTTAATTATCTTTTTTATTAATGTAACTTCATAGAATAAACCCCTAATCTGGAATAGCCTTCCTATAGACTTAAATTATTTTTTTAATCAAGAATAATTATGATCCTTTTTTCAAGTAATCAGGGCCTCATCAGCTAAGTAAGAGAACAATTTATCAGTTTTTTTTTTTTCAGAATTCTCTGCAAGGAAATTATCGATGCAATAAGATCATGCTGGTTATGTGTTAATTAGTTTGGTTCATTAGGTGCTCTGAAAATGGAGTGTAAAAACGATTTTAGGCGTTTCCAAGATATTAAACTCTTTAATCTACTTTCATTCACTTTAATTATAAAATTTTAGTGAATA